GTTTCGCCTGCTAAGGATTACCGGTGCTGCTATTCCTCGGAAAGAAGCGGTTAGCTAGTTTTTAGCCGTTTGATGAAGTTCCTGGGTTGGGTTGCGCATTTCACATTTTGTCTTGTACGTTGTTACTCCTGAACCACGATATCTTACCGTCCGCTTGATTGATTATTCTATACATAGTTTTGAAATTTTATTTTATATAAAAATTTTTTTATAATACTTATTCTTCTTCCGGGTTTATTTTCTTGACTGCCCATGTATGTAATAATTTTGAGAACACCCTTTTGTTCTCATAGGTAATTGCTGTCAGAAAAATTTTTTGAATATCCATTCTAGGCAGTTAGTACAGCTGAAAGAAGGAGGGACGAGACCTGTTTATATTTTCAAGAAGATCGCACAGTTGGTTTAGCTTTTTTCAAAAAATCAGTTTCTTCGAAATTTTGATACAAAAAAAATATTAACTTTCTAAAAAATATTGAGTATAAATAAAAAAATATGGTGCAAAAATATTAACTTTCTTTCTCTCTTTTTTTTCTATCAAATACTTTTTCTAACATATAAATTCTTTCTTCTTTTCGAAAATTTCTTGGATTTTCTTCGAAATGTTCTTGGATTAGTTTGGCATAGAAGAAAAGAGCACTTCCGTTTGTTGTTGATTTATCAGGAATAGCAAGACCAGCGAGGCGGATATTCAGCTTTAATAATTTTACTTAAATGCTCCAAAACGCCATTTGATTTCCTTATTTTCTTTTTTTCAAAAGATTGCATTATTGCGAAATTTTGTTTTTCCCCACTTTTTTAGCTGTTATTTCGTTCTCTCTTGCATTTATCAAATTATTAGAAATTTTAAATTTTTAAAATCGTATTACATGGTGAAAAAAAGAGTGTATCGTTTTTCCGCAAGTTTACATCCCGTCCCTGTACCTCAGCTTCTTCTAGACCTCCAAACTTTTCCGGGTGTTATTCATTATTATATTATTCATTATTATATTATTCACTATTATATCATTCATTATCATATTATTCATTGTTGTGTTACTCATTATTATATTATTCATTCATTATTATATTATTCACTAAATTTCAAAAATTATTATATTATTCATTATTATATTATTCTTTATTGTTCCAGCATTATCCAGTGCTATACTGTTTTTGTTTATTTTTCCGAATCCCCAAAAATACTTTGACTTTTTTTACATTTGAAACTTTCTTTTTTCTGAGCGTCAAAATATCCTGGTTGGTGATCCCAGTTAAAAAAATACTATTTAATTTTTGTTCCTAAATACTACTAATTTACAATGGAAATCATTTTCTTTCAGTTCACAAGAAGAGGCCTTAATCACCTACCTCCTGGATACGGAACTAAAAGCAATGAGCTCAATGGGACATCCTTCAAATACATCACCAATTGGTATTGCACGGATTAAAGTTGACCCGGATCCAGATTTAAGCGGAATTTTCCAGAACAAATATGTGCTGGGAGCCGATCGTTTTGACGTAAGTTATATATTTGTATCCTCAGTGTATTTCTGCAATAAAAATTGGTTTCGAAATGCCTTAAAAACTGAATTTACTTTGGTCATTTGTTTTTTCATGGCAGTGCGCTTGCTCATTATCAGCGTTCAATTGCAACCTTTTTGTGATTACTGCAACTGAAGCTTCACCATTTGATGTTCGGCGTAACATTACTTATGGATGTATTTTCCTCTGATTTCATTATTTCGGAAAAACTGCATAGTCTGCGACTGAAGCTACATCGTTTGATGTTAAGCGTAGTAGAACATGTAGCGTTTTTTTTTCTGCTTTCATTTTTTCGGAAAAAGTGTACACAGCATTTTTTTCTCTTCCTTTTTGGTCTTCGAATCCACTTAGTGGCAATCCTTCTGCTAACGGTCTGTTCATCTGAGTGTAGAATACAAAGTCAGCGAGGACGAATTTAGGGTATAGGACTTATAGGAGATATGTGAACTGGATTTCTGGAAGCCTTGTAGTATCTTCTGGAATCGTTAATTCGAGATGAGAATCCCTTGTTTTTATTTTCGGAATCCAAAAAAAACTTGCAAATTCCATTCGTAAATTATTCCTCAGTCCGGGCAAAGAATTTTTTTTTTTGGAACTTGATAAAAGTTGCTGAAGGTCGAAAGTTCAATACCGCTGAAGGGATAATCAGTCTTTCTTCGATTCATTCACTTGTTTCGATTTTAAATTGTTATTGGTGCATGCTGCGGAGTTAAAACTGCTGTCAGTTTGCGTCTGAGCAACACTCGAATGAAGGATCTGTCGACAGTCGACAACGTGGTTGCTGCTGACGCATAACGTCACTTACATCTACTTCTAAGTTCAGTGGAGGGAGAAGAAGACTTTTAAGTGTTTTGGAAATTTTTGAAAAATGTAAATACTATGAAAGTTTGTTTGGCACTGTAGGCCAGTCGGTGAAAGGGACACAGTCGAATATTGTCAGTTGTGGGAAAGCATTGAGTGCTAATTCAGATACCCAGATAAGCGGGCCTGTATGTGCATTAGCTGTTGTCCGGTCTGTGTTTCATCCCTAAACTGTAAACACAGACGGCAGAGTCGGTTTGAATCTTTACAACTGCTTTAATTTAAGTTAATTTTTTTCACTCAGTTCTTGATTATCGAGCAAAAATCTCTCCGTTTTAGATGTGTTATCAGGTGGATCGTACAGTGACAGTAGAAAAGCTATCAGAAGCAATAAGACGATACATTGCTGCTGCAGTTGACTGGATTGATGCGCTTTTTTCACTCGTTAACATCACTGATTGCAGTGAAAAGGTCTGGTATTTCTTGTTTCTGCCCTGCAAATGTGAAAATAATAAATAGAATCTAAAAGTTCTTGGAACCATCGACTTTTTTCGGAAAAACTTATTGGTTCAAGGAATTTGAATTTCTCATTTTTGAGGCATTACACAGTTACATGGACGCGAATATCTGAAGAACATATGGGGGGTGATCATTAATAAAGCCACTTTTTGAAAAAAAGTGAAAGTTTTTGGTTTTTTTCTCCCTGATTTCTCAAAATTTTAAATATTTTTAATTCCTGAGCTTTTTTATTTTTATTTAGACTAGTTAGTGCTTCTGAATTTTAGGTTTGTGTGTTGAAAGGCACATTCGGTGCGTTCTGTACATTCAATCAAGCGGCACGTACAGCACAGACAACATCCGACACAAATTTGCTGTGTTTATGCAACAAAACAGTCATACCACGGCACATACCACGGCATCTAGTTGAAAATAGGTAATGCTTGCATTTTTTGACGTATTTTCCAGAGAAATTTTCCTGTTTGTCCCGGTTCGTCTCCTAAAATCCGCAGTTCCTGGATGAGCCATAAACTTTTTGTATGTATGTATGTATGTACGTATGTATGTATGTATGTATGTATGTATGTATGTATGTATGTATG